AATATCAAATAAATAATATAGTGTTAAATGAAATAATGATGAATTATTATTTAACAAGAGAAAAATCAACAAATAATCTTTTGTGAAATAACTTATTTTTGAATAATACTAACTGAGTATTGTTCATATAAAGGATAATTTAATATAATATACATATTTTTTTAATTTATTTATTTTATGAAAAATAAATGATAACAAATGTATGATAGAATTAAATGATGATAATTGATTTTAGAAAAAAAGTTCAATAAATTTATCAAAATAATTATCTATTTGATTATTTAATAAAAATGATTTAAGATGTGAATAAATTAAATAAAGTTTAGATTGTCTATTCAAGTTCAAAAATCGAATAGAAAAATATTGTAGGAAAATGATTCATGCAAATAAATTATTTCTAGATGTTTTAATGTGATTAATAATGATCATGAACAATCATTTATGGGTACTAGTCTCGGTATTAGTTATTTTTTTCACCCTCACACCGAGAAAACTTTAATAATAGTCTTAATATAACCCAAGATACGTTAAACCCAGCAAGGGCCATCACTGATATAAATCAGTTTTTTCTGTAATTAAAAAAACAGAGTGTTGTTTTCGATTGTATTTCAAAAATAACAAGTACAAAAAAATAAAGAAAAAAAAGAGTTAATTTGCTGGTCCCTCAGGACCTATCTCAGGACGAGGATGTCGTGGCGAAACTGGTGATTGGTGCTTTTTCAACGCTTCGATAAGTTCAGCGACGATCTTCTCCAATCTCTGGAGGCGCCTATTGTCGGCTGCTAAGCCTATAGTAACGACGCTGAATCGTTGAATTTCAGTGGCTTGTCGCTGATTGTCAGCGTTTAATAGACGATCTTCGTTTTGTAGTTGACTGAAGGTTGGGTTTAGTGGTGGTGGACCAACCTAAAACAGAAAATGAGAAGAGAGTTAATATAAGTCAAAACAATGGGTGTCATCCTCCAACCTAAGCATAAGAAGAGAGATCTAATTATACGGCATTACAAACGTCTCTTCCCACGGAAAAATTCTTCCGAAAAAAAACCACGGTAATCTGAGGCTAACCACGGTTTTTTTCCGGATTTTGAAAAACCGCAAAAGTCAGACAATTTATGCGTCTTGTAAAAACCGGTTGAACCCGGGGTTTGTAATATTGCGGTTAGGTCTGTAAAAACTCAGCTCGGACCTCAGTTTTCTCGGTTCTTACCGCGGTATTTGCAAATCGCGGTTTTCGCCGATTTCAAAAACTGCATAAACTGCCTGACTTTCGCGGTTTTTTCTTGAAAAATTTTTCCGTGGGTTGTTGAACAATTATTGGTGTATATCAATAACCATACTCTCATTTTTCATTCAAGATATATACATATGAGCTAATTTGACGAACAAAACGTTGACCAATGAACATGAACAAATACTCGATTGCCGTCTATATAGTGTAAGAACAAAATCTATGATTTATTTGTTTGTGAGACGACAATACTGTCATAGACACTCAAAACGAAAAAAAGAGAAAAAAAGGAAATATTTATTGGCTCATTTTATTGTCACACGTAATTTTATATTACGAAATATTTTATGTAGACAGGGGGCGTAGAAGCGTTCCAACATAGAAAAATGCCCAATACAGAAGCGCTGCGTAGTAAAACTTCTGAAGTAGGGTGGTATAAAGACCCACACGCCTCCTTCTTACGCTTCTGTATGCAGAACTGGGAAATATGAATGGGAAGAAGTTTTTTAGAAAATGTCTAGATAGTAGAAAAAATAAAAAGCTAACATATTGGGATTTGAATCTAATCTAAGTAAATGTGATGACCAAAGTTGGAATTCAGAATTCGACCAAAAATGTTGGACGAATTGTGAATTCGGTTGAATTTTGCTGGACAAATTCACAATTAGGCTGAATTCCAACTCCAGTCACAACGTATATTTAATAGTTTACATACCTCTATATCATAAGATGTGGTTTCTTATGAATGGGATATGGGTGGGGGCAAATGTGGCTGAGTTTGGACTTTCCTGGCACCTACACTCACTCCACACCCACACCGTCACTGCGGTCATGATTCAACACGATCATCAAAAATAAGATGGTTTGAAAATGAAGTGAAACATGAGCTTCATTTGAAAAAAAAAGAAGATTTCATTGCGATAGCAAGAAAAACAACATTAAGAGTTGAGAAACACTTTTGTCGAAGGACTTATCATAAAAAAAAACGTTTCTGATGATATATGTAAGGCATACACTTAGACTTTTTCGAATGAAGATATCGATCAGCTGAGTACCAGAAATTAATTTTTTCATCTAACGCCGTTGTACTATGGTCTATTTTATTCAAATGATGTAAGGAACTTTCAATTGTAAACATGCTACGAAATGCTAATGCGCCATGTCGACGGCATTGCTTCCACAAGTGAAAAGGCATATGTTTTGAGAACAGTTCGTTGCACGCACCTTGGCTTGTAGAAATTTGTTCTAGATCAATTTCAATGAAAGAGCGTACAGCAACAATATCAGAACGATTATTTAAAAAAAACTAACGTACGAATATAGATGAAAAGAAGAGGAAAATGAGTTACAATCATTGATAGAAAGCAGTCACTCAGATGAACATGAAGAGAAAGGTGGCGTGGGTGTGGTTATGGGAGAAGAATAAATAGAGAGACAAAAAATACCACATCTTAGTGTTTTAGTAAAGCAACGAGTGTCTTGATTGCTCGCTTCGCTATTTGGTTCAATCCATTTTGTATGGTGATTCATATATGCAAAAGCTTGTTATTCGTAATAACCATCCACAAGGAAAAGTTGCAAGTTGACAAGCCGTACGTTACTATGGTTTTGGTGGTGACTCGTGGCTTGTCTTGTGTGACTTTGGTGTTTATTGATGTCTCACACTTCGTTGCTAAAACAATAATGAAGATTCGATTGAATCAAAATTATCACAGATTATGAAATAAATGTTTAATTATTTGTCTCTGTTTTAACAGAAAGATACACTATGAAAAGATTTTTTTGTAATAAACTCAAATTTGATGCTTATATTTATATATTAAATTATAACTGATAGAACTGTAAAGAGACCAATTAACTGATTACAAATTTTCTTCAATGAAAATTGGACGTTACGTGTATTTATATATGAGGAGCTGGACGTACTTTGGATATGCAATATTAATTATATCTGATATAAAAATTGATCTATTAATATAGATGATACCTGTTGAGGTCAATGTGCACAGCAAGCTTTTTTGATCGAATTTTGTGAGCCATAATGAATCTTTATGTGAATTATTCGGCATTCATGACAACAAAAAAGTCATTTATTTTATTAATGAAAAAAAGATCTTTTGTACAACTTATTATTCTTAATTCACACTATTCAATTTGAAATAAACGATGAAAAAAATTGAATGGTTCAGTTTGAAATATATATGTATTTTTTCGTTTGCTGTTCTATAGAAGAATGAATATGTGTTTAGTAGCAGTGGATTACTAGTGACATGGACTGAATATTATGTTGACTAGACGTGAAGTAAAGTGACACTTCCATAGTCATTCTATTCGAATTTATTCAATTCATTCTCTTTACCTCTACTTTTCCAAACAGTTTATTAAATGAACATCAATAGAAAAGATCTAGTTAATCATTTCTTTTAACATGACTCTAGTTTGTTGATAGATATGTTCAAAATTAACAGTTGAAAAGATTGAATTTTTAACCTAGATTAATTGATTAATTAATATTGCGATTTTAATGAAACTTTAGAAAATTTTCGAAAAACTCTTTATTCAATATATTCCAACAGACTTCCACCGAATCATTTTTATTCAAAAGCATACGATTATTTTATTTATACATCTGATCATTGTTTTAATACGAACAGCATCCAAATGATATTTCTTATCAAAATCCTGTAAAAAATGTTCATAATAACAGTTATTTATTTTCAAAAGCACCGTAACGTCATCCTGTAGGAATAATTCTCGGATTCTGAAGTTTGATATTCGTTATTTGCCTGATCAATTATTCATGTTTTCAATCAAATCTTGATAGGGTACATCTGATTTTTTGGGAAGGAAAGATCAAGAAAAAAACTTTAATTGCATCAAAAAAATAAAACTGCTTCGTGCAGGACTTGAATCCGTGCTGCAATTGTTGCGCTGCCTTTGATCACTCAGCTGAATGCAACGTGTTCTAGTGTTCTGTGTCACAGAATTGAATGAGTACACTAAGATGAAACTTTTGAAATATGTTCATGTTGATACTCATTTGTTCTGTAGCACAATTTTGAAATATGATATAGTCAAGAAATAACCTCGGAAAAGGAACCATTGTTAGGTATGAACAAAGGAACGATGAAACTTATTGATTGTAGCAAAATTGAAGAGTACCTATAACTGAGAGTGTGGATTGAGTTTAAAAAACAATATTTGCATAAGTTTATCTTAGAATATCTCATCAATGATAATGTCTATGAGTAATCTATATTATCCGTAAAGCATCATAACCAATTTATAGATCCTATACACATCAAAATTTTCCTGAAACTTGATTAATTATGTGCTATTCGATGCGCGATATTTTGTTCTACAAAATCACATGTATGACATCTTGCTTGAAGAATGAATTCTTTCATCCTGCATCAAACATTTGATGAATTATTGTGCTATGTTTGACATTTCGCATGGCGATCCCATAATTATTTGAATGATGAAGTCCTCTAAAGGTATTTTCCTAATCAATAGCATGCAATATATTAATCATTTTATTTATTTGACAAATGACTACTTGCAGCACAAGAGAAATTTACAGAATAATTGCCTCTTATAATCTTTATTTATTTAATTTCAAAGACTCTTGAGACATGAATAAAATAAAATAAGACTAGTAGATAATCTTATTATTAAAAATAATAATAATATTCTTTCCTTATTAAAATTAGAAAGAATAATACAATGTCAAACTTATTAATATCTTCAAACAATAGTATAATGATATGTTTTAATGTGGAATCGATTCAGTCGTTAAGCCATATTGTGTAATATGAGTTGGTAGATCTTCTCTACCAGCTAATAAATAAAAAAGAAAAATATCAACAATAAATTTCATTTAACAAAAAAAAAGAAAGAATATTGCCTACTTAAATAAAATGGATTATTATGATCGTCTTGTTGATCATTTTTTTCTTCATAATTTATTATTGATAATGATCCATTAACGAGATTTCTATAAGTCACATTATAATTATAATTATTATTTATTTCATTATAGATTTGTTGCTGTGATGAAGTGTCGTAATCATAATTTTGCTCATCATTATTGAATGATGTTGATTGTTGTTTTTGTTCATTACTGAATACATGAGGTGAAGCCTATATATATATATCCAAAAACTTTATAATCAATATCAAAACAAAATAAACTACATACAAGATCTTCAGTAATACCAAGTTCTTTGATTTGTTCTAATAATTGTTCAGTTTGAAGCAATGAGTCTCCATAAGTTGCTGAATATTTATGTGGATCTTCAGGCGTAATACCCAATCGTTCAAAGCTACGAATGATTCGAGGTTGTATCGGTTCGTATCTTAAATATTTAATATAAGAAAAATTAATAATAATAGTAATAAAGTTATATATATATATTACACTATAATAATATTTTTTGGTGGAGGGTAGGGTTTAGGTTCTTCAGCTCGTTGAACAATAACTTTACGTTTTGACATATTTTGATAAGGTATCCATCGTTCAATGATAATATCACGTGGTTTAGCTGGTAATGCAGGTATTTTTTCAATGATTACTGATCGTGGTGGTGGTGAAAGAGGAGGAAGAGTTTTTGTGACAACTTGTGCTAAATGAAGAAAAATGTTTTCTTTTTTGCAAAACTTATATTACTGGTACTAACGAATTGTAATATCAGGCATTGGTGGAGGTTTTTCACGTAGAATAATTGGTGATGGTGAACGAGGAGGTTGAGCACGTTGACGAATCAGCTATGTAGAACATAAATACTTCTTATTCAACAGATAGAAATTTAAAACTTACAAGAGGTGGTAAAGGTGGAGGTTGAGGTGGTCGAATTTCACGAATAATTAAAGGTCCTTGTTGTACTGGTGGTGGTTTTAAAAATCGTACAATAATTTTTTGATTGTAAACAACGGGAGTGGTCAACGAAGGTTTTCGTATAACTTTTGGATCAGGATCATTATATAAATGTTTGGTACGAATAAGTGTTTCATAATCAATATCAGAATTGATTTCTTCAAATGATAAATCTTTATTATATTGATATGTATCATCTTGTTCTTGTATTTCAAGATTTACTGTTTTATTAGTAGTTAAATCTAATTGTGAAACATCTTGATACGAATCATCTATTCTTCTTGGTTCACCTAATAATTGTTCCCAACTGTGAATACTATCATTAGTATTTGTATGCTGATAATTATAATTTGCATTATAATTATCGGGTATTGTTTGAGGATCCAGACCTATTATTTGATATGATTCTGAATATTGATATTCTCTGTCAAGATTAAATGGTTGCGTATCATTACCATTCGATAATTGAGAATATTCATAAGATTGGTCCATTACTGAATGAGTTAGAGTAGATAGTTGATAGTTTTCGTTCAAATGTGATGTTATAGTTCCTTGTCGATAAAAATATTTATTTTTATCATGTGAAGTAACTATATGCATCTACTCTTTCGATTCTTTCGATAGATAGTTGTTCTCATACGCTCAATATGAATCGAGTCGATCGGAGACGACAATTTAGTAATTATTGATCAACGATGACAAGTTGCTTTAATTGACTACGTGTCATTGAAAACTCTTCTTTTTTTTTCGTATGTAACTCTTTTTTTTTTCTTTTCATTTTCTTATTACATATTTATAAATTGAAAGAAAAAAGGTTATATTGCATGAATAACAAAAAGATGAAAGTGTTGATGATTATTCATGTGTAACATTAAAATATTATTCTCCTTGACATTACTATTTCGTAAGATGAACTAGTGTTCTATTTTATAGACAAGGTTTTCAACAATATCAAGGAAAGTACCGATAAAAATATATCATTACAAATGTCTCTTGGTAATTATTTGCATCGTTGTCAATTATGTTCAGAAATTAGAGACACTTTTTTTTTAATTTTCGATCAATCAAAACAAGGTTAAATTATATATTAGAAATAAAACAATACCCAATGTTTTTTATTTTCTTAAGAAAAAAAAAAAAGAAAGTCGCACTACAATCTATAAAATGTAATCTAAATATTAATCAAAAGCAAGTTTTAAAATTTGAGTACACTCTTGTTGATGAACTTCTCCAATCGCCACTGCCGGTGTACCAAGTACATCTCGTCCAGCATATTTGAGCTAGAATAAAAAATAATCAATAGACATTTTTATAAATCTATTTCGATCAGTTTTGATTCATTCTCGAACTCTATTGAGACCAGTGGCTTTTTTTTCTTACTGAGCTTTGACTAATTCAATGAAATTTTTAATAAACTACTGCATTTTTGTTTATTTCAGATACCAACCAATCCTTCTAGGCTTTGCCTAGTTTCACTAGAGTTTATTTAATGAAGTGTATTCATCTACTAATTTCCTCTAGTCAGTCATGAGATCGCTTTAATATTCGAGGTCAAATCATTAGACTACATCAAACAGTATGAACTTCTGAAAGAACATCTCAAGAATACAGAATTAATTTTATAGCATTAAATGATCAACCTATTCTGTCTGAATTGTCAGAATAAAAGTTTTATTTTTTATTTTTATAAAAGATGGCTTTCGTAAAACACGATCTCAAGAAAGTGTTAGAAAATCAGGGTAAAAATTCGAACTTAGTCCCCTCCGTCCTAAGATGTGACAAACATGTTGGCAACTCATCATAGACCGTAACAGACGCTAGTATGAAATCGTTACAGACCGTAACATACAATAGAAAGACCCTACATCAATAGCGTATCAATATCAATATATGAACTGCTTCTTTATTGCATCTCTGGAGAACTAAGTGAAAGTGTGATGAAGAAATGTATTCCAAAATAGAAAAAGCAATCTCTTGTGATTATCAACAGCAATTACATTGCGTTTTACACTTTAATTCCACGGGGATTTTTTTTCTTGAAAGTTTCAATAATAAATACAAACATACATGAATTCCAACAACATTTTCAAATCTTGGTTTAACAAAAAACCAAGCAGCCTGATTTCGATGTTCTTCTTGACACCAAATATATTCTTTAGCATTTTTATATTTTTTAATTTCTTGTCGAAGTTCATCAGCTGGAAATGGACATAATTCTTCTAAACGAATTATAGCAATATCATCTCGTTTTCGTTTATCACGTTCTTCATTTAATGTATAATAATGTTTTCCACTTGTAAATAAAAGACGTTTAACTTTTTCGGGATTTATTTTTGTCTAGAAATTGAGAAAAATATCCTTGCTTAATTTTTTTTAAATAAAAATAATATCAAATATACATTAGTAATAGTATCACTTAACACAGGTAAGAAATGAGTATCATCAGCCATATCGGTTAATGAAGAAACACATTCTGGATGACGAAGTAAGATCTTTGGTGCAGCAACAATCAATGGTTTACGAAAATTTCGTATTATCTATGACAAAAGAAAAAAGAATTATTTTCTGCTTCTTATTAAGTACTATTGATTTTTTTAAGCATCATTCAAAATGTAGTACTTATTTTATTTGTCGTAATTTTCGTTTTCTAGAATATGAAGTTTCCTTTTTTGGGAAAAAGTTAATTTTTATCATATTGTTTATTTTTTCTTTTGCTTTTGAAAATAGTCTTTTAAAGTCTTACTTGACGTCGTAAAAGATGAAAATATTGAGCAGGTGTTGTTGGATTAACAACTTGCATATTAATATCATCACCATCAATACCATCTTCTTTACTATCCGTCATCTAAATAGCATAGAAATTGATTTTTAAATATTAAAAAAAAACCTATAAACCTGTAAGAATCTTTCCATATGACAGCTACTATGTTCTGGTCCGGCACCATCCATACCATGAGGCAGTAACATAACAATACCAGATTGTGTAAGAAATTTTACTTAAAAGAAAAAAAATTCTTTGTCTTGTTTTTTGTTTTAATGAAAATAAAATACTTACATTCACCACCACTAACATAAGTATCAATAATAATTTGTGCTCCATTAAAAAAATCACCAAATTGTGCTTCCCAAATAACAAGATTTTTCGGATCATGAACACTAAAACCATAATCAAAACCAAGTACGGCTTCTTCAGATAAAATACTATTACATATCTTGAAAGAAATTTTTAATTTATTCAGTATTGTTTTCTTTTTTGATAATTAATCACTAGACATACTTCAAGAAAGCCTTGTTTAGCATCTAAAGCATTCAGTGGAATATAAACATCATCATCTTTCTGATTAACAAGCATGCCATGTCGTTGACTGAATGTACCTCTACCAACATCTTGTCCACTAATACGAATATTAAAGCCTACGACAAAAAAAAAATAGTATTCAATTTCAATCACATGATAAAGATACAATGAATAATAAACCTTGAAGAAGTAATGAACCAAATGCTAATGCTTCAGCTGTTGACCAATCAAGACCAGTACCTGCTTCAATACGTTGTTGGCGTTTTTGTACATGTGATCGAGCAATAGTTGCATGAACTTGCTATTAAATAACAGAATAATTCATTTAAATGAAATAATATTTAAAAAAAGACTTACAAATTGTTCTGGTACATCAACAGATTTAACACCAATGTATTTAAGTAAATTTCCATCAAGACCTGTATTCCATTTCGTACGAGTTGATTTAGCTTGTGCCATTCCTGACCATTGTCGTTCAAGATGAGGAGCCTAAATGAAATAAATCGAGAATTCTTTTTTTTTTTTAAATCGAATTATAATTATTATTACTTTTGGTTGATATTTTTCAGCAATAGAAAATTGTTCTTCTAATGTATTTCGAAACTTTTGAATTTTTTTATTTAATTCTTCATCGATTTGTTGTTCTTGTTGATAATATTCTTGTACTTTTTTATACATTAATGGTTGTGTAAATGTTGGATCATCAAGTTCATTATGTCCATGTTTACGAAAGCAAACAAGATCAATAACAATATCTTTACGAAATAAATCACGATATTCACATGCTAATTGTGTAGCTTGTGCTATTTCCTAATTTTAATATGATTAAAAAACATTTTAGGGATTGAAAAAACAGAAACCACAATTACCACTGGACATTGACCATTGACATGGATAACTGGACAATTAACAACTTTAGCAAAATCAGTACAATAACGTGAAGAACTTCATAAGGAAAACAAAAGAAGACATTGAATTTTATTATTTCAAATTTGATTTCTATTTACCGTCCTAAATGTTGAGGTGTTGTATAACCAATTTGATTATTAGTAACAAGATGAATACTTCCACCGACTGAATAATTTGGTAAATGACTCAATTGAAATGTTTCAGGAATGATACCCTAAATAAATATTATTTATTATAACTAATTATAAACATAAATGGCGATAAAAAGTTTAGTAACGCAATATTTTTTTTTTTACCTTTTTATTTCCTTAATGGTAACAGCTACAACAAATCAAGGAATCTCTTTAACAAACTAAAACTTTCAAAATCTATCGCGAACGCTCAGGAAAGAAGTTCATTTGATCGAGAAAACATTTCAATATCTTCAAGCTCTTGATGACCTATTTCAAACGAACAACACTCATTCTATGTAAAAGCCTCGAAGTGTAGAATATAGTAAATTCATACGCATAAAAACATAGAAAACAGCTTTTTTAAGCTTATCGCACAATGGTTGCCGTTAGTTACAAAAAGGTCGTTAGAGTTCGACGACTTTAAGAATTACCCGGAACCGGAACTACGATTCCGATTCCGGTTCCGATTACTAAAAACAAGAACAAAGCAGTTCCGGTTAAGGTCCTAGGATGTCACGTAGAAAAAAAATTCTTACATCATCAACTAGATGCGAATATTTTAAATCTATATTAAGACTAAAGACACTACATATCACGGTGCGAACATAAGATAATATTATGCATATTTCTTGAAATCTTTCATCTCAACAATGAAAACATGAATATCTCTCAACATAGATTTAAGGATTTTTTGTATCTATATAATGATTTAACAATTACAGTTGCATTCTCAGTTATAGTTTCTTGGAAACACTGAACTCTATAGGTTGTGCAAAGTTCGACGACATCGAAATGACTTCTCTGTTTTCAAAGACTGCTCATCTAAGCCTGCTAATAGAAAGCTAACAAGTATCTCTTCTGATAGGAAGCTGTTTCGATTCATTAAATCTTTATACCTGGCCAGCAAAAGATGCATCACCATGTACTTGAATACAAAGTGCTTTGTCACCATGTCGACCAACATTATCTGTATCAGCATAATGACCATCTTTTAGAGATAATTGACAAGCACGAGTTTTACCAACTGCAACAGGATTATTAGCCTTTTATTTTTTGTTATTAGTTAAAAAACAATGAGATTAATATAAATCGATGAAAGATTAAATTTACTT